TGTGGTGCATCTAGTGTGTTAGTTTTTGCCAGAATGTGTGTATATATTTGTTCTCTATACATATATATATATATATACTATGTAATATATAATTATAAAGAAATCTATACAGTAACTGCATGTATATTGTATGGTGTGTGTGTGTGTCTAACTACATGTATCTTTTATTCTTTTAAATAATTTGTAGAAATAACCATTCTTTGCCTGATGTTGGTCAGAAGATTGAAAAGATGTGTCACAAAAAATGTGGAAAATAATATATAATATGTCAAAATAATCCACATTATAACCAAAAATGTTTGCAGCTCCTCTTTTCTCTTGAAAAAAAGAAGAAAATATATATATATATATATATATATATATATAGTACTTCGTGGAAAGTGTTCAATTTGTTTGAGTTTGTCTGATGATCATAAAACCCAGTCACAATCTCATATCGATACATCTGAATAAATATATATATATATATATATATATATATATATATATATAGGGTGCAATGGATAAATTGTTGTTTAAATTAAGCAAAATTGAAAATAACCACTGTGGTCCCATTTTAACAGATATATTTACCAAAATTATACAAAAATATCTTGAAATACTAAAGAGTAAATTTATTCAATAAAATTGCTATTGGCTTCAACCAAAGTTTCCAGACTTTGGAATCTTCTGCAACTCTTCTGGATGGTCTCCTTGCCTTCAGTTCATCTTTGGTATTACAAGAAGCTTTGTTGGTCTCTCGCTAAACTGCGCCCCCCACATAATAATCAAGGGGGTTGCAGTCTGGGGGAGTTAGGTGGACAGATGTAAGGGGTGATGTGGTTTCAGAAATTGTCTGACAGCCATGACTGGGTTCTCCTGCTTGTCCTGATGGGTCTTCTAGCAGCCACCGTCTTGCCCCAGGGCAACACTACCTTCACAAGGCACCTGATGTAGGCTTCCGTGTTGAGTCTGAGGCCCTGTGGGAAGATGAATGGAGGCATAATGTCACCATTACTAGGGATCACTCCAAACTATGATGTTGACAGGATCTATCATCCTATTCTTTCCAAATCCTCTGCACTGTCTTCACATTGACACCCAAACACTCTGAAATATTTGCATTGGAGCTTCTGGTGCAAATGCCAAGCAGTACAGCATGCTGTTTCCAAATTTCTGATGAAGTGAATTATGCCATGGTGCTCTTTTTCTCACAAACAGTGCCCAACTGACCCTACTATACTGTGGAGTCCACAAATTCAAAAACAAGCAATGTGCATGTGTGAAATTAAAAATATAAAATGGTAACAATTTACTCACTGCACCCTCTGTGTGTGTGTGTATATATATATATATATATATATATATATATATATATTAAGGCATTAAAAACAAGAAATTTTATATTGTAGGCCATGATAAGTTTAAAACAAAACACACACCAGTCGACCGGTTTCGTCCCCATTCGTCAGAACTGTTAACGGGGAACTAAGATTATGAGGAAAAGAAACTAAAAAAAGTCTGTCATGGATGACATGAATGAGTGGACAGGGAAAGAGAAAAAAAAAAATTATACCAACCAAGATGCTAGAAGCGCAGTACAGCAAGTCCAAGCAAACAATCTCTTTGTTTGCAAAGAGCAGGTTGCCTGGACCTGATGTAAAGCGACTCCAACACCTTAAGATGGAAAAGTGAATGCGAACTGGCCAAAACAGAAAACCATTTCACACTGAAATCCATCGCACAAGTGGGATTCTTTATAAAGTGATCCATAATCGAAGACCCATAATATTTACCGAATGGTATAAGCCTAAAGAAAATTTTTGTTCAGTATTATAGCAGGTACGTGTTGTTTAATTCTAACGTCCAATCACTGTGTCGTTCTACCTATGTAGTTGCATCCACAACTACATTTGAAATAGTAAATAACAGAGTTAATATGGTGGGTGGGGGGTAGAACATCTTTACACATAGATGATAGTACGGACTTAGTTTGAAAGACAACACGAACGTTCGCTGCAAAATAACACTCACGTGAACTACATGAAACTTATCATGGCCTACAATATAAAATTTCTTGTTTTTAATGCCTTAATACACTTTTGTACCATTTCAAACCTATTTAAATATATATATATATATATATATATATATATATATACACACACACACACATATATATATATATATAGAGAGAGAGAGAGAGAGAGACTTTCAGTTCATATGGGTAGTTACTGAATTTAGTCTGGCACAAGTCTACAGTGTGTAGAGCACCGAGTAACATTTAAATTTATTGAAGTAGTAATGTGACTATCTTAACAAGTACTCCATGTTAATGTTCTAAAATTTTTATTAAGCTTAGCATATTCTGACAAAAAGCCATAATTATGGAGCACCCAGTGAAAACTGAACTCGCAACAGTAGTAATAATCTGTGAGAGTAACCTGCAAACCATTACTCCACAGCAAAGTTTCGATGGCTATGTTTAAATATTTGATGCGGTATTGTTGTAATTATCCATTGCTGCTTTCAGAGGTAGATTGGAATCATGTGGAAGAAGAAAGGATTTTCTTTGACATTCCTGTAAATGCAACATTTGAAGAATATCAGTGGATACAATGGCTGAAATATGATAGACAGCAACAAGGCAGCTGACTGAATCTATAATAATAGTGTAATATTGTGTGGGTGTAATGTCAGGTTAAGGTTAAGAAAAACATCATTGCCAAACTATAAATAATATTATATTTCTGAAATATAATATATTTGACAGTACCTGTGATAGTTACAAGTCCTGCAAAAAAGTAAGAGTAAAAAAAAAAAAATAACAAAAAACAGGAGGTAGTGAAGTCTTTTCATTGGTTTTTAAATTGACTAATCAGGAATGAGTAAGAAGGTAAGATTTCCAGATGAAAAAATGGGTTTTTTTCCTTCAAACTTTCTTGAGTGAGGTATTTGTCTTGGTAGCAAACAAATTCCCCCTCCCACCTTGAAAAAATCTTGCATCGGGATGTTCTTTTACTCTCCATCATGGACGAGTGATCAACAACTGGAAACAATATAATTTTGCCAATACAGATCCTGTTGTACTGTTTATTATGACAATCAAACCTTCAACCTGGTGAAAAGATTATTTTTGATTTTCAGTGAGAAATTGAGACAGTACGACTTTGGGGTCTGCACTTGAAAACAGTTGATGCTGCCCATTACAAAGCAATGACTAGCTCACCTAAAAACTAATATGGGCTACAGTATAGTTAGTGACAATTTCATAGTAACAAAATGAAAGAAATGACTCCAGATTTTATAGTGGCTCAAATGTGATAAAGCCAACAATGTCTATGATGTTAATTCAAAATAATATATGATTATTATATTCTAAAATAAAAGCAAAATTTAACTTCCACAGTAAAAAAAAAAATTCAATGGAAGAGCAGAAATGCATGATGGGAAAATTTATTGCTAGAATTATTTTTCAAATCAAGACATAATTTGTAATTTGTGCCAGTTTTTAACTAATTTTGCCAAGATTTTATTTCTGTCCATAAAAAAAGGGGTCAATTACAGTTTATCAGGTATTTTTCTTGTTTTTGATATTTTTTCTTGTTGGTTGTTAATTTTTTTCTTCTTTTTATTCATTTTTTTTTTATTTCTGTATTTTGTTTATTTTCTTTGTATCCTTTCTTTTTTTTTCTCTACCTTTTTCTTAATTTGTTTTTTCTCTTTTCTATCCATTTTTTTCTCCTATAATTTTTATCTCACTTCTCTTTCTCTTTTTATCTCTCTTTCCTTTTCTCATTTTTCCACCCTCTCACATTGATTTGATTTCTTCTCTTCTCTCTGCAAAATTATTGGACCACCCAAAATGGTTGTTTGGTTTTATTAAGAGACATTTTAAAACATTCTTTAAAAGTTTTTGATATTGTCTTTATAGATTAACACATTTGCTATTATGTTCCAGTAATTTCTAATGAACCAAACACTTTGATTCCATCTTCTTGGAGCTTTTGATATTTCTAAGCAAAGGATTGTTCTTGGTGTTTTTTTTCCAGGAAATTGAAATTTAAAACAAATAAAGATAATCCTGCAAAGACTGAAACAAATAATAATCCAAAAGTTTCATATTTGCTGTATAACATAGAAGAGTAAAAACTTCCCAGTTAAGCTGCAACAATTTTTGCCTGGTCACCACAGAAACATGCGGTCAGTCTAGTGTTATCCAGATGGAATTTTCTTCTCCTTTTTGTTTAATAATTTTAGATGATTTTATATTGTGATTTTATAAAGTTTAAGCTCATTACTAGATTGGCAGCTAGATCTCATCATTTTACACTTGAAATTGCAAGATGGAACCCTAATTTTTGTGTTAACCATTTCTTCTCTCGCACTTCTCGCTTGTGGAATTTTCTTTTGGTTTCTTGCTTTCCACTTAAGTTTAATATTCAAAAATTTAAATGAAATGTCAATCATTATTTTCTGTCTCCTTGAATCCTGTTCTTTGATTGTCCTCTCTAGTTTTTTTTTTTTTTTTCAAACTCAATAACCTCTTTCGTCTTAGTGACTTTATTGCCTTGCTTGGGATAAAAATGATTAAAATAATGAGTTGCAGCCTTCAATTGGTTTAATTATGATGTGTATTTCTTCAAATTGTTTCCTTTTCTACAAGTAGATCATTATTCTATTATATTTCAGTTCCATAATATGCCCATCATCACATTCTTTGGATGAAGATTAGTATTTAGTAGGGTTAGTGACAGTTCATGCCTTCATTTGCACCTCACCCTTGCCACTCACAAAGTTATTGGGAAATATCCACTTTTCATCATTCATCACTGTCAGAATTTGTTTTAAAAACATTTCAATATATACATTATTTACATGTGGACTACTGTCCTCATCTTTGTTGTTATTATCACAACTTTTCGGCTCTTGTTTTCTTTGGACTTCATCAAGTGCTTTTCAATTTTGGTAACCTTCAGGGAATTTCAAACTGAAATCTTCAGTCAGTTGACTGTGTTTAGCTATAGTGAAACTTCTACTTCCATCATTTGTTCCCTTTTTCTATTTGTCCTCCTCCTTCTCTCTCCTCGTCTCTCCTCCTCCTCGTCTCTCTCCTTCTCTCTCCTCCTCCTCCTCGTCGTCTCTCTCCTTCTCCTCCTCCTCCTTCTCTCTCCTCATCTCTCCTCCTCCTCCTCCTCCTCGTCTCTCTCCTTCTCTCTCCTCCTCGTCTCTCTCCTTCTCTCTCCTCCTCGTCTCTCCTTCTCTCTCCTCCTCGTCTCTCTCCTTCTCTCTCCTCCTCGTCTCTCTCCTTCTCCTCCTCGTCTCTCTCCTCATCTCTCCTCTCCTTCTCTCCTTCTCTCCTCCTTCTCTCTCCTCGTCTCTCCTCCTCCTTCTCTCTCCTCGTCTCTCCTCCTCCTTGTCTCTATACTACCCTCTTTTTCTACTTGACCTTCCTCCTCTCATGACTTCTATTTTTTCAATTGCAGGTGGCCTGATGCCCATGTTGACTGGAATTCTACAGAACCTTTGCTTTAATTTTTAACTGAATTCCACTGGAATTTTTATTTTTTCCTATTTATTTCATTGTACATTTCTCTAAACTTCAACAATCCTTTCAAACCTGAAATACATTTTGGGATAAAATGAAACCCAAATCCTGATTCTCCATTCACTGTCCAAAATAACTTGGTTGTTTTGAAGAAGGTTTGTACAAAAAGCTCCCTCTAAAGTTAGCCAAGAAGTCATTCCCAAATCTGGCATTTAAACAAAATATTTCTTGAAATTAACATAAAAAAATTACCTTGAGAAACGAGAAGAAAAATTGTTGATTAAAAACTAACAAGACAGAAATTGTGTTTTGGAAATGCATGTTTCTGTCCATTAGGTGCATTTTAAGATGGTTCTTATTGATTAATGTTCACCTAATAAGATTATGTATTGTTGTCGGATTGAAATTAGTTTTTTAAATCATTAGTGTCTTTGTTTGAAAGAATGAGTAATGATGTTGTAGTCACACTAATGCATCAACCAATTGGTTAACGACTAGTTGATGTTACTCATTCCTGCAAATCATAAAAATTCCCAAGATTTATGTGGGATTAAAAAGAGAATGAGTGAAGAACTTGTTGGAAATCTTTATTTTCTTGGAATTTGTTTTTTAGTTGGACAGATGGAATTAAGAAAAGGTGAGAAAAACTCTAGAGAAGCTTTTTTTATATTTAAAAATTTTATTCTCAAAGTGACATATCAATCTTGTTTTTATTTTACAAGATTTTAAATTGTCCCTGGATACTGATCCACTGGATTCCTTTTTGGCAGAAAGACTTAAAAATCTCTTGGATCTTTTCAACTTTATCTGAAACAGTTCTTAGAAAGAGTTCCTAGCAAACAAAATATTTCTGTGGCTCTGTTAACTCTCTTTAAGATTTGCTACTGAATTTTCAATTTAGTACCTTTTTGTTCTACTACTACTTCTTCTATGTGCTATGTCCCTTCAAGATGTGAGTAATCATGGCTCTCCACAACTTCCTGTCCTTTGTAGCCCTTAGTAAAGTTTATCTTTTTGCTATATATCATAATTCCTGTTCTGCCAACCAAACTCCTTAAGGAACAAAAAATATAAGGTCATTTGGAATGTATCTGACTATTTTTAGTTGTGTGCTTCTAATGTAACTTGGCAATGAATGAGAGGGGACCTTACTGCACATACCTGAACAAACACTCTTGCATCGAGCTATTTGCTCAACAGGGAGATGCCATTAAGTGAGATTGTGCACTTGGTGATATTTTCATTCCGAATGACCAGGTTTTCTTTATTTATACTTTTGGCCAAACAGTGCATTGCCACAATTTATTAGCATCCCTACAATAGAGATCGGGATCCCAGCAACTTCCGGTTTTCTCCAAAGATAAAATTGCCATTTAAACTCAATTTGCAATGACACAGCTGATGACAATCCTAAAAGAGGACATTGAAGATATTTGAAAATGAGAAGAGATTCTGGATAAGTGTGTAAGATTGCAATGGATGCACTTTGAAGCTGGCATTGTCCTAAGAGAGGAGGGTGGGGGTAGTTTTTTGGGGTTTTTTTTTTTAATATTAAGTGACTGGATATTTTCTGAACAGACTTTGTATTCTATTCTTTAAATTGAATTGATCTGTATGCATTTAAAATAATCAGCTTTTTTTTATTATTTCCACCTACAAAGCCCTGGCCCACACAGAAATGGAAAATTAATTTTATATTTTAAATTATTAAAGCCTAAATTTCTGTTTCTAAGTTTAGCCTCGCCCTGTTTTTCTTTCTTGGACCCTGAGGCCAAAATGCCCATAAGCAACTAGTGATTATCCCAAATACTATTTTCTTTTTCCCAAACACCCACTGCAATTAATTTTATACCTCCTTTAATTAATCTTTTAACCCACCTCATTAATTAATTTTGCACCCCACCCCCTTAATATTGTAACCCATCCCTTAATTAATTTTGCATCAACCCCCTTAATTAATTTTGCACCCTACCTCACTTAATTAGAAACAAAAACAGCTGTATTTTATTTTTTAAAAGTTTTTTTTTAATGAAGTTGCAAAGCATTGAAATAAATATGATTTTGTGATAACGGAATGGTTTCATTGCAAAAGTTGTCCACTTTAATACAGTTGTGATATGGCTGTGATACTAATGAAAACTTGAAGAATTCTCGCTGCTGTATGAAAGCGAAAGAAGCTAAAGACAGTAAACCTATGAAAGACTGGAATTTCCATTCAACATTGCACTTCTGTGGTTCAGCTACAAATAAATGTAAACTTCTGCTGCAGTTTGTGGTTAAGAATAAATCTACCTGTCGACCAACTTTAGGTGTCATTTGTGTCAACAACCTGTGAGAAGCTGGTGAGTTTCTGGGAGTTTTCAATTATAAGATGGTCAGTAAAGACAAATGGATGAAGACAACTGAATTTAAAAAAGATTTGTACTTTTGAGAAAAATTGATGGCTACCAATCTTTCTTGTACTCATCAGCTTTATTTCTTTTATCCAAGAATTTAATTTCTTCCTTGCTTGATTGCTTCCTTTATGGTGATAGTATTAGATATAGACCAATTCTTGCCTGGAATAGTCAATGGTATTGACTGCATGGTAATTTTGAAGGAGGACGAGGTTGATTTTTGTCAGGACTTGTCAT